CCACTGTGCGCACCATTGTTTCAGATAACAATATTGTGAGAAGAAAGTTGTACCAAAACCTGATCAACACAGTAGAAAGAACCCTAACCTTAACCCTAACCCCTGAACCTGGAGAATGTTTTTATTAAGTAATAAAGCTTGTAAAAACATCCCTAGAATTAGAGGTATTTGAGACTAAGCATGGAAAAATACATATGTTTGTTACTTGCTGACTCTGTCAAAAAAATATATAGGAAATGAAGGGATACTCCAAGTGGCGAGAAACCTGATAGAAGAGACTGTTTAAAAAGAAAAGTAACTCAACTCAAAAGTTCATGAGAGAGCTAAAGTACAATAGACAATGGAATTGTATTGGGAGAAAGACAGTAAACCGTCCATGGTTGAAATTACTGAAGGCAGAAAATGCAGACAATCTCAAATTACTTGTCACTTTGGCATATAATATATACAGTGATCACCCTTGTAAGACTATGCCTGCATATTCATGGCCATCCAAATCCTTGGCCACTCTTTCTGCCAACCACTTAGTGTACCTCATACACAATGAAGAACCTGATAATGAATTACCAGCACTTAATGTTGCAGCTTTTGACCTATGCTACTGGGATCCTGTTTATTACAGAGAAATGTGGAGTGTGTATCAAGGCCACTGAACTAAAAAAAAATTGAAAAATGTTTGATATTCAGTATTCAGAATGGTTGTTAGTAAACAAAGAGAAGATAACAAATTTATTAGCAGTAAAATTGCAATGAGGAATGGAAATCTGAAAACTCTTCTACTAAACCACTTGCCAGAGCAAGGTGAAGCGATAGGTTTGCCTGAAGAAGTGATGAAGTCATAGAAATACATGAGTCTAATGTAAAGAAACAAACCAGATGGAGAATTAGGAAAGACTCTAGTCCCTGGAAACCTGTAAGTGACCAATACATGAGAGAAACTGATTTTTTGGTGTTGGGGTCACTGATCAGATCTTGCTGTAGAGTCCATTATTGTTACAGTTCCAGAACTGCAGATCTGTAAGGCTAATATATTAGCTTTAAAAACCTAGTTCTGCATATCAAAAAAATAGCACCAAGGTTCTACACTATGGCACTCCTGAAACAAAACAATGTCCATGACAGCAAGCTCTATAGTTTACACAGCATCAGTTCCACCTCATAGGTACAATGATGTACTACATGCCTGACTGCCAGAAAGTGCAGAATTAAAAATAAATAAAGTGTCTCTTAAAGAAATACAAATGAAAAAGGAAAAAGCAGAAGCCCATGGTTTTCTGAAAACATGAGATGATAAGCAAACTTGGCTAACGGAACTTATGTGAGATATCTTGGGTATAACATGTTTTACAAAAAAAAATAATCCTGTACAACGTGATGACCTGATCCTTCCTGACATACCTGCAGAGACGCAGCGATCAGAAAGCTACAGCTGAAGAAGGAAGGAACTTTTCCTTGGGAATCATGTTGAAAGCCAGAGCTTACTATTAACAGGTTTGTTAAAACCAACAGTCAAAATGCATGTACATTTGTGCAGGATATGTGTGAGCAGAAGGGATGTTTTTCAGCTAAACACCTTCTTACTGAGATGGACACCATACTTTTTCTATCAAAGATCCTCTATCAGCACAGCCACTCACACTGTTGTAAAGGGTGTGCCAGACTTTTCCCAGGTAGAGATGGTGTATATGCAGATGAAGCCTGTGAACAGTAGCCAGTAATTTCTGAAATGCCCCATTTCCCACATGGCATTGATTTAGGAGGTTCAATGTCTGAGTGTTTTGCCAGCTGTTGTCCATAACTTCTGGCAGCAATTGCAACTCTTCTACCACGCTCAATGCAAAATGAAAGAATTGTGCTTCAGCATAAGCTTATAGTGGATGACACACAAACAAGTACAACAAAACAGACAGTCGATGCACTGCTAAACATAGCTCAGAATGGGAGTGGTACCTATTATGATACCCGGCCTGCTGTTGTTCATTTTCGTTCAACCAAAGACAGTAGAACATCAGCCTGTTCCAGAGATTTATGATGACTGGGATTTTGTTGATTTTTTTAAACTTGTGGCATTAAACATTTGGCTAGAAATCCCCAGAATGCCACATTTCTTTAAAACTGCAATGATTTACTCATGTAATGTATGTTTCATGACATTATTTAAATGGATGTGCTTAATGATTTAAAATTCAAAAAGTTGGTTTCAATTATTTTGAAGTGCATTTTTGAGTATTATTCTCTATAGTATTTATCTATTGCTAAGTGTAATAAAAACCTTAAATGGCGGAGGGGGCAATTCATTTTACCTCAGTGAAAATTCAATTTTAAAAGCTCTGATTTGCTCTTACATACTAAACATACTTAAACCTGCCTGAGAAAATATCAAAAAAGATAGACCAAGTTGAAAAATACTAAAACAAAGAGAAGATGTACTTGTCTATTCAGTAATTCTACCACCTGCTGACTCACTCTGTAAATATAAGAAAAGGTGGGTGTTGAGGAGGGCAAGACTATCACTTCCTTACTCACACCAGATATGTAATTCTGCAGACCAATAAGATCTGAACTGAAGCCATTGCATAAACTGAATGGCTCTGAAAGCATATTTTTCCTACTGTAAAAACCAGTACCTGAGCTGCAACATGTTAAAAGAAACAAAGTCAATTCATCTTATGGAGGCAGATCACAAAAATATCACACCTGTTTCTGTAACATGACTGCAAATGGGAACTAAGATAATAGTCATGAATTTATCCAATTTGTTCATCCCCAAGTCCACTTCCACCTACCGTCTTGTGGGGGAACAACTTCACTGTCCTACTTGTTTCAACAGACACACATGGATGGAGAAAAAGGTCTGCTGGTTATGACTCGGCAATCACAACACATTTTATCCCCTTGAAAAACTACCTAAGGCCTAACACCCAAGGGCTCATCTTAAAGGATTTAGAATAGCTGGAAAATAATAATAGCAATTTAAAAATCTCAATGTAGCTCAACCTTAAAACAGGTCTATATATTACACATTCCCATTAAATTATACTTCATAGGAATATAAATCCCTAGCTAAGACTTTTTCAGAACTAACAAAATTATCATTAATCAGTGGGCCTTTTAACACTTTTCAGCCAAAGTGCTAGCATCACTGGCAATTCTGACTCCATTTAAGGTTAGATTTTACTTTAAAACTAGGTTCTGGGGAGCAGTTGAGAACCAATTTGGGAGAAGGTCCTACAGATACTTCACCAATAACTGCCCCACAACAACAAAAAACCAGTATCATTGTAGCATAAAACATGGAATAGCAAGTATCATGTATGAGTTCTATCACAGTTTATGTCTAGGTTCTTAAACTGCATTTGAAGGTGTGCACTATAGTTCATATTTGAAAGTAACACCCAAGCCACTATAAATTGTCATACAATGACAAGGATTACAAAGGTTTTGTATGTCTCAGTGCAATTCATTTGGACAACCGTGTGATGTAGGCATTTCAGAACTCTTTGAAGGCATTCTAGAACTCTAATTGAACTAAGGCATAGAACCCACTGCTGTTTTAATTATCTTTGTTTCCTCTCCTTTCTCCTGTTGTCACATACTTTCACATTAACTCTCTCTCTCTCTCTCAGAGTTCGTATGTGGTGCTAGCACACTGACATGGCATTCCCAGGAAAGGATAAATACTGTGTTTGCTTAGAAAAGTGAGCATTGTCAACTGTATCACGTTTTACATCAACATAGTAAAAGTCTGGTTCAATTCAACCCCCATTAGGTTACTGCACAACAAATAGGCCTTTTCCCTCCCACCCACAGTTCACTTCCCATCAATCGTGCCTGTCTACCAGAAATAGCACGTGCAGATATAATGCCAGATTTAGACAGCCTGAGCCTTTAGTGTCTAGTTCCTCTGTCTTTCAAATAACTACCAACTATATGAAATGGACATTCCAGGAATGTTTCTGTTACCCCAAACCTAACATCTTCCATCCTTGACTGTGTCAGTATTTAAGAGTTCCAACAGAACATGCAATTTTAAAAACTTGCATACGTTAAAGCTTGCTCTTATAAAGTTTTTCATTGTTGTTTCACTCTACTGTACTGTTTCTATAACAACCTTCCAGTGAAATTAATCACACCTTTTAAAAACTGCTGTAGCTTTTATCTTAGGCCTCTCTTATAGAGTCACCACACATAATGGAATGCTGGAATGGTGCACTGCAACAACAAAAAGGGGGAGCCCAGGAAAAGAAGGGGGATTACTGTCCGCCCTTGCACACAGACATACTTCTCAAGTAAAAGGAGAAGCATAAGGACCATTTTGTGTTAAGGCAGAGTATGAATGCCCTTGCTGTGGAATGATGGCCAGACAGAGCAGCCTGGCTTTTGGAGGTCAGACAACGCACGCATCCAGGCCGGGCCCGTTCAAGGCTGCAAGTCCTACAGACGCAGGACAAGTACCTGTCTGGTCGGCCCCAGCTGGGTAGTAAGTAGCCGAGGAACTGGGGAGGGGAGAGTATTTATAAGGATCTGTGCGGAAAGTTTGCCCGAAGAAAAGCTTGGTGTGAACGGAGACTGGCTGGCCAAAGGCAGAAAAGGGATCCTGACACTCCAGAAAATACTTTGCATGGGCTTCTTTGCGCGGGGCGCGTCCGGCGGCGGGAAGGAAGGCGGCCCCCGGGTGTGGCAGGGAAGGGGAGAGAGCATCCCACCGAGCCTGGCTGCAGTGCAGGGAAAGGCGCGGAGGGGACCATCGGGCGGAGGCCTGACCGGGGCAGCCGAGCGGGAGGGAAGGGAGAAGGGCTACCCCAGGCGCTGGCTCGCTAGGCAAGTGCCATGAGAATGGGGGTTCCAGACGGTTCCTCTCCCGCTCACGGAAGGGAAGCCGCCCCTCCCTTGTAAACCCGCCCGGCTGGCCGGAGCCAGGGGCGGCTGTGGCGTGAGCGAGCCCCCACCCCACCCGACGGGCAGACGGACGGGCAGGAACTCCGCCCGGCGGCACTCACGTTCTCGGTGTCCCGCTCATTGACGGTGGGCAGCGGCGTGCGGGTGGACATCTTGCGCGTGCGGTTCTGCAGCCGCCGCAAAGCCGGCCCGGGCCAAGGCGGGGAAGGGCCGAGCCACGGCCGTCCGCCCTGCCGTCTGCCGGCCGGCCGGCCTGGCTGGCTGCCTGCCTCTCCCGCCCTAGCCTCGCACGGGCAGGCCTCTGCGACGCGGCTGCTCCTCTTGCGCTCCCGGGCAGGGCGGAGGCGGCCCCACTTAGGCTCCCGGAGTCCCGGCCATGGCTGCTGTGTCGGCCGCCTTCGCCTGCACCGCCACCGCCGCCGTCCCCTGGGCCGGGATCACGGCGGCGACCGCGGCAGCAGCAGCAGCAGCAGCAGCAGCAGCAGCTGCAACCTCGCCAGCTCCTCCTCCTCCTCCCGCAGCCGCCACCACTGCGCGCTCAGGTGAGCGGCCGGCAGCGCAGCGCTGGGAAGCCGGAGCTCTTTCCTCGCCGCATCCGGCGGCGGCGTCGACGACTCCTCCCCTCTCCCCGAGCTGGGCCCGGCCCGGCCCGGCCCGGCCGAGGAGGAGAGGAGGCGAGACGGAGCTCACACTCTCTTTGCCGAGGGAGCCAAAGAACAGCGCAGCCGGCTACTTCCAGCTCAAAGAAAACACTAGGGGCGCTTCAGCCAGGCTCTGCGGAGAGGCGCTCGCCTTGCTCGGTTGCTGACGACGACAGCACCCAGCCCCTTCCCGCTACACACTCGCCCAAATCAACCCCTCCCGCTTGCTGGGGTTGCTCCTCTTTTCGCCCAGTGGTAGCTTCACACGACCCTGGCGGGAAAGGGCTTCCATGTTCGACTCGGCGCGAAACACGCGTCCAGATCGAGACGGTCTACGCTCCAGATCTTCATGGAAGAAAACGGAGACTGGCACACTTTGATTTTCACACCAAAGATCCCTGAACTCCCTCATCTCTGGTTTGTCTGGGCCCCCAGTCTGTCTTTAGCCGACAGCTTACACATCGTGGAAGGATCTTTTGCATTGCACGTATTAGCCTGTTCTTGCTCTTTCTTTGCTTCCTTTGGCGAGAGCTATTAGCAAAATATATTTATCCTGCAAAGTGCATCACCAAAAGTTCCGGGGGAACCTCGCCTGCCACAGCATTTTAAAGGACAGGCTGTGCACTGCAAGGTACCTTACTGTGTATGTCACACAACATGCAGGATGCCTTTGCTTCCTACTGAGAAGATTTGGGCTACAATGCTGTGCACACTCACTCCCCCAAATTTCATAGTGTTGCACTGCTAAAAGAGAGAGAGAGAGAGAGAGAGACTCAGGCCAGGTTCAGATCTTGAAATGTAGACTTTAAAAAACTATACTGTGTCATAGTTAACCACAATGGTGACAGAACATAGTGGATTACAAATTCACATATGGCCCTTTCGTTATTATATGGTTTGTCTTTGTTTTCATATGGAAATGCTTTAAAATGTAAGATTCTGTACGTTGTGCATCTCATTTCTTTCATTTGTAATAGCCAATTTCATAAAAATGACAATGCAGAAAAGGCAACATAATAACATATTAACAAATCTTTAGTATAGAAATCTTAAAATAAGAGACAATAGGTTTAAAATACTAAAGAATAGTTGTTACAAGATACCAGGACCTAATAAAACAACTGATAAAATGGCCCTGTTGGATGCCAGCAAAATTCTTGGGAGCTGAGGAAAGTTTTAACCTGGTGCTGAAAAGATGACTGTGTCAGCACCAGACGGACTTCAGAGGAGAAGGCACTCCGCAGGTGGAGCTGGGAGGATAACACCCAGAAGGCTGTCTCCCTTGTTGCCAGACGCCAAGCTCCTCTCGGAGAATGCACTTGTAGAAGGACCTCAGATGAGGATTGTAGTCTGTAGGCACACTCATAGTACAATAGATGCTCTACCAGTTATTGTTTTCCTGCCATGAGTATTTGCATCTGTCACAAATTATGATGTACATAATTTTCTACATGAAATTAGTATGCCCAGAGTACCGATTTCTGTTAAGGCATACTACACGTATGCAACAAGCATCATAGATGAGAGAATCATTTGCAAGGTACACACATTTTTCTGCTCTTGGACATGAAATTTGCCATGTAGGATTGTCCAGAACCTGGTCGCATTTGCAATAGGAGTTGTGTGCCAACTTGATGCCAAAGATGTTAAAACTTGGGTTGTTTGGTCTGTCCAGTCTTCCAAACCTGTGAACAGACTAATCTTACACAGGCCAGACAGTGTGATCCCATGCACTTTTACTCAAATGTAAGCTCTATGGAGTTCAGTGAGGCTTACTTCCAGGAAGATGCACCAGATTGCAGCTTAAGGCACAGTTCAGCAACAAACAGACTTACCCAACACTGCAGAAATGGGGTGGTGGGAGGAGAACCTTGCCAGTGTCTCTACAGCATACTGGGGATCCCACCCTCTTTTGTATCCCATATGCCTTTAGAAAGAAAAATGCAATATTACTGTGTGCACCATTATGCACTACACTGATCATTTGAAAGTAAAACAAACTTCTTGGAGTAGCTACAACCGTGAACAGGTGTCTACTGCTGGCTGTAGAGAAATGCCATCCAAAGGTGGTAAAACTAGAGAAAATAATACCATGACTGCATTCAGACATGATAGGCTTCAATGGTTTTTATTATTGTTGGTCTGTCGTGTTGCTTAAACCCAGGATCATGGTTTCCATGGTTGTGGTGTACAGCTATCGCACAGTTCCCTGGAGAGAGCAGCAACTGCAGGGGCCCTTCAAGCCAACCAGGATCTATGTGCAAGCCAATGAAGAAGAGGCAGGCAACAAAGGCAGGGAGCACCTAGGACTTAAATTTCAAATACAGTGGCCGATGTGATGCATGTCAACTGCAGGAGAGCTGAATAGGGAGGATGGAAACCATGGTAACATAGACACCAGTTGATTGTTGGGTAGATCATGATAAAAAAATGAACCCTGGTAACCACACAAGGTTTCTTGTGTTGTGTGAACCCAGCCACTGTGTCCTTTGAGTGAACCAAGGTATTACACAGTTGTTACAGCACAGAGCACTAACAAAGTAATCATAATAAAAATACCAAACTATTGGCCAGAAGTACCCTACATGGGATTTGACAAGTCTTTCTCCCTCAGCCCTAATCTTCATTATGGAAAGAGTAATGGCCTACCTTAGAGTTTTGCAGTAGTAAGATTTTACTACTCTACAGTGGTGTACAAACATGAACTGTGTTGGCTGCTTCTTGGGGAAAGTTGTGTGGGAGTTCCATCTGGGGTGGGGAGAGCAGCTAGTGGAACCACAAAGATGCAATATTTCCTGACAGTGCCTCCATCTCCAGCCCCCTTCTGCAAAGCACAACAGTGCCCTGAAATAATCTTTCTAGCTTTAGCAGAGCAGGATGAGTGCAAGATGACTTTTACCTCCATGCTTCTCCTGTTCTTCATAGGACGCCTGTAAACTTCTTGTTCAGGACATTCCTACTGGATTGCATCCTTAAAATATTTATTATTTTTAATATTAAGTGATATAGAAATACCACAAGTAATAAATCAGTGGCCTTTAAAAGAGCTAAGTTGCCTTTTAATTGTCATATATCTAAAATGTTCAGCATTGCTTCAGATTGGAATTGTGCAGTTTGATCAACTTAGTGAATGTTTTTCAGAAGGACTGATATTGATTCCTCCATGGATTTGTGATTGTAGGGGAAAGTGGCTTAGACTAAAGCCTGTATAAATGTATTCAGCATCACCACCAAGTCAGGAAAGACTCCCTGACTTCCTGTAATAGCATCTGAACATGAGCTGACTGGTAACACCATAGACCTTATAGGGTTCTCATCATGCATAATGCTGCGTATATGTCTAGTAACCCACAAGGTTCCCCCCAGTACTCTTTGTCAATATTATTGTTTGCTGTTGTAATGCTAATTGTGTTTTCAGAGTTCAAATATTTTGCTTTTAACAACAGACCCACAGAGAAAGCTGTGTCAGCTGTAAGTGACAGAGAAAGACTTGATGTACAAAATCATAAGGAGAAATGACTAACAGAACAGTTTCCATTTGCTGGAGTCTTCTTTTCTCTCTCTGCATAAATAAATATGCTTAGCTAATAGACTTTGTGACAGTATGCATTTTTGCCTATTAGGAGGGTCATTTTGGTCAAGCATTGAATTTAAGAGCTAATCTTTTTGATTTTCAAGAAGATAGCTCAAGTCAAACCAGTGAACAAAAAAATCTTATTGTTGTGGATTTGCAAGGTCTGAAACAGATAAACACCTGGAAATTTAAGAAGGAAATTACCACCCAGTATAAGCATTATTCTCTGGTGAAGAAAAATATAGGCTGGACTTCCTCTTTACGTAGTCAAGATCAGCTGCTACCCTTTGAAAATTCCTCACAGCCTTTTAGAACTTCTGGGAACTGGATATTTGTCAACTAGAATCACAAGCAATACAACAGAGCATCAGGCAGCAAGTATATTTCACTAAGATCAGTTATTTGGCTATTTTCCTGGGTATTTAAATGCTCCTTACATCATTACTGGATTGGCTTTTTGGAGCATGTAAGCCTGCAGGACCCTAGTTCATCAATCGCTCATCACTGCACTACAAGGTTTTTAACCTGCTGCTTTAGCAATGCTTCTGCTTCCTGATTCTTTAGGAAGCAGGAATTAGGACTGGGTGCTTTACATACTTTGTTTTGTCACCCATGTTTTTTGTCCTTTTGCTGCCTTTCTATATGTTCCATTACACAAATACAAAGTGGTGTTGCAGAAATGTGAAAATACACAAGCTTCTCCTTCCACTTCATTCCAGATAACAACACACTTTTCTTGCTGTTAAGACGTGGAAATGCTTGGAAAGCACAGGAGAGACCCTAGAAGTTGACAAGATTGTGTCAAGCAGCCACATACTAGAAATCATGAGCATACAATAAATGCCTCATGAAAAGAAAACCAATTTATTGCACTGTCACCATGCCCCGTTCACAAAATGTCACAAAATGTGCTCAGATGATGTTGCCTTCTACTTCTTACTCATGTCTCCTTGCCCTTTCTTCCATCTCATTTCTTAATGTGGAAAAGCTATAAAGAAAGAATAGGGTTCTGTAGTAGCTGAACAACACTTTCTGGCAGGAATCCTTCCTATGAGCCTTTCAAAAACATCACAAGAAATTACATAAAAGAAAATACGCAGAAAGAAGGGCACAAAATGACACGACTGCACGAACGATGGGCCATACTGGCAATGGGTTTGCCTGATTCC